CAACCACCGTGTCCTAGTGGTTTCTCGACCCGCCCTGAGGTCGCCGATGAAATACAAAGAGGCGTGTTTGCTCCCCCTTCCTCCCTGCTTTGGAGCCCGCCTGGTTTGGAATTCCCGAAAGCCAGGAATTGATCGGCAGGTTGAAAAGTACGTATATACGTGGCTGTCAAAATGGGTGACTTAAAAGGAAGATCCAGAAGCCACAGGTGGCATGGTCTCTTTTTTGGATGTTGGACTACGGGGTATCAGATGGCACATGACGGCACTCAGGGTTGGAGCCACAGGACATATATGGCATATGGAGCATCCGCCAGAAGCATGTCCAATGCCGACGGTGACATCCGAGTGACTGTGACGTTGGTTTGGTGTGATCAATTTCCAGACACGACCTGTCTGGGACTGCCATAGGACTGCCGATCTACATTGGGGTGGTGCCAGGGGGGTCAATGTATGCATATATTCCAGTCCCACAGTCGTGTCTGGCTTCGGTCAGCCGGCCTGGCCCGGCCGACGGTCCGGCCTGGCCCGGCCTGGCCGTGACGGAACTGGATCCCCTGGTTGGGTTCGGTCTTCTCTTAAAGGCCTATAGGTTCGGTCGGATGGGACTCTCAAGTTCGGTCCACGAAGCGAAGAAGCGGGCGGTCAGGATGTGATGGTGTTTCCGGCTGAAGCAGCTGACAGTTTGAAACATGCTGGTTTTCTGGAGCCAAGCAAGTGTAGTAGGGCCAAGTAAGGGCTAGACGTTCCTCGATGAAGACTTTGTTCAGTGTGGCTATTGTCTCATGAACTGCAGATGTATTAGTGTGTGTTTTTTTTCAACCGAGCTTATATAACCAGCTCAAAAGAGGAGCCGTAAGGCCTCGGCAAGGGGAGCCGCTACAGCCATGACTGAGTGACCGACGTGCATGCCTACGTCCTACGTGCGTGCCTGTGTGAGCCGACAATTCCTGTAGTTGGATCATTTTGGGTCAATTGGTCAATCTGGGTTGATTATGGATCGACCTGGTTTAAGTCAAACAAATATGTTATATGTTGCTGTGTTCAACACTCAGATGTTGTTTTAGGTCCGAAATCATGCCCATTCACGTTCTTCACAATTTCTCCCCCACACCCCGGTTTTCGAAGACGATGCGATGATGCTTTGCTGCTGCATGCCGGAGTATTTTGTGCGCCACTAGGCACCCCGGAGCCTGAGGCCACACTATGTTTTTGGTGTCGCTTGTTGGACGGGCGGGCCGGAGGGGGCTTCTTCTGTGTTGTACGACAATGACTATGTATGATATACTATGACTATGACTGAAAAGGGGAGAAGACCAGCTGCATTTGGCAAAGCTCACAAGGCGTGTGTTTGCTTCTGGGGCGTTTTTTATTCTGACGCTGAATTTCTCATTCTCTCAACCATTTCGACAGACCTTCGAATGTCAAGTGATTCTGAAGCTTCACAACTTCCCACAAAGCCATGTTTGTTTTGGAGAACATTGTAAGGCTTTTTGGTAGACTCCGGCAAAGCTGTCCGTGGTGTCATCACAAAACAAAGTGTTCAATCAAGATGTCAGTGGTAGATTCCAAATTGGCACATCCAGGATGTGGTCACCTGTGGTTGCCATGAAATATGCCCTATCACACACTGTCATTTTTCACAGCTTATTGCAACCACGAACATTCCCCAAAAAGGATGACCGGGTGTGTCTATGGCAACCTTCCCATACTTGCCAGCAAGTTCGGTTGCCACGTGAGAGGGACCAGTTTCGTCACAAACCAACCGATATAATATATATATATATACTGTATGTTGATATTAAGTATTGTAAATTGATGTAAAGTCCTATTCCCAAACCCTGGATTGAATGAATATAGTGAATAAATATATCTGGATGGAATTTGTTGGGGCCCACCTTTGCTGTTTGTCGCAGGCCCACCTTCGAGCCAAGTCTAATGTGACACGCAGTCGACGTGCAGGACGAGGTCGCTTGGAGGACACGGAGCCATGGAAACGCATCCGAAAAGAGTTTCTGCCACCATCAGGGCCAAGAGATGACATGAGGACTGGACAAAATCATAGAAAATCTATGCTTTTGTTCCCCCTGGTTGGTTCAGATGTTCAATCACCTGTCTCTTAGACTCTTATAGTTATATAGTTTTGGCTCAGAGACATTGCTTGGACTTGGGCAAAGTTTGTTGTTTATCATAACTATCATACATTATCATGCTAAATACATCTCTTCAATTCATCATGTGTCTCCCTCTGTGGACAAAGCTGTATCACCCAGATGCTCCGTTCACAGCCCCGACTGGTCCCTCAAAACCGGCCTTGGTTCGAATCGCCTCGGTTCGCTGGTCGACTTGCGCAGATCCGGGGTGGCCGAACAGGGTCCACCAATCAGGGTTCGGAGGTGTCAGAAGCACCCCCTCCCCCAAACACTGGTGGTTTTGTGGAGCTTTTCGTATGCCATGCCACCTGTGGATCGCTTTGATGCGAACCTCGCGCGGTAAGCAACTCCGCGAACTCCTTCGCCGAAGTTGGGATCGTGGTCTGGCACAAACGGGGCGAGGTGAGGTAGAAGAGGTGTTACAATCCGAAGGGGGGAGTTGTTGATCCAGATTTGATATTTAACATGTAGAAGCTCACTTGTTCGGATGGGCTTTCGTTTCATCGCAAGCGTTGCTGAATCCATTGGGACTCTTAGCTTGAGCATGGATGGACACTGGACATTCACGGGATTTCGAGGAAGTGAGGGATTTCACGTTTACCGAAAGTTTTCATTGTTTTCTATCAGCATGTTCAAGAATTTGTCTCACAGAAAATGTGTTCCACGATTGGAAAAAAGGACTTTGTGATGTTCTGCGGGCGACTTTTTCCTGCAAATTCTTTCTAGAATCATCCTGGTTCCTTCACCCATCCATGATTGGAAAGAAGCCCGGGTCAGCGTGCAGGACTCAAAAGCCTTCAGTTGATGCATGCTAATGTGGATGAAGCACCCAGGATGTGCCAACGACAGCCAACACATTGAGAAGGTCACTGGATCCATCGGAATCCGGGACTAGTTACACTGTGACTCACTAGGAAGTGAACCCCACCCCTTAAGAAACTAAATTTGTCCAATAGTTTATTCATGTTGTTTCTCATTCTGTTGAGTTGCGAAGGGATAGTCATACTGCTGTGACGCTGTGTCATGTCATGTCATGTCAGAACTTATATGAGCATGACAGTCCGCATCATGTGATTCATTCATGTTGGTGTTCCTTGCAAATGTTTGCAGTATAAAAAGGTCATCCAGGTACTGTTTAATGATGTTTAATGATTTTAGTGGCCAAACACTGATTTTAACAGCAAAAAGAAGGGATTTACCTCAAAGGACATCTATCATCTATATGGAAAGCTACGTTGATTGGGGTGGTTGAAACACGGTGAATGTAGATCAACATGTCAGTCCAATAAGCACACTGAGTCATTGTATATAGGTTCAGATTCGTGATGCAATCTTAGGAGCTACGGGGGAGCTGATTTGAGGGATTTTCGGGTCATGTTGCATGTCGCATCTTTCATTATTTGTCCATTCTGGCAAGGGAATTGTGGCACAAGGTTTGTCGAGGTTTTAAGGCAGCTAGTCCCCCAGCAAATATAGATATTACGCCTTTTTGGCTGTCAAAGTCGACAACTTCCAAGGTGCTGTGTAGGGGGCATGTGGGGTAACTGGTGGAGCAGGTCTCATAGCAATCATAGCAATCTCCAGATGCAGGCTTATTGAATCTTGCTTCGTTGGTGTCCACACAAACCGATGTATGTGAAGCCATGTGCTTCAGCCATATGCCTTTCTGCTCCACCACCTCCAAGTGCTCGTTGGGCCAGATGGTCCACCATGTGCAAAGCACAGATCGGGCTTTCAGATGAAGGTCAGGCCTCGGCTGAGGAGATGCCTTGAAGTGCGGGTCCGGCCTTTTCTACGATGGGAAACGGAGAAGAATGGAGGTATCTCTTACAGGCTTCCACTCCCACTCCATCCCACTCCCCTCAAGAAAACTGCCAGGCTGACACTATCCAGTATCACAAAACCAGAGTAATTACTTCCACTGTTTGAGGGTTCCAAACTCTGGTTGCCCTTCATAGTCGGAGAAGAATGCGTTTTGTCTTTGTTGCCCCTTCTCATCCCTTTAGCTCCCTGGCCTCAACCCTCGCACCAGGCCCGTCTGGGACGAAAACGTCCCCGTGCGGGCCCGGTGCCTCCTGGTCCTCGGTCCCGCGATGTAAAAAGGGTTTCGCCTCCACAGTCTTCTGAAACAGACTACAGACAGGGGTTGGCCGAAACGCATCAGACAGGGTTTCATTCCTTTAACAGAACCCCTTTAAAGGTTCGCCTTTGCATCTCTCACCTTGACCCCGGACTTGATGCATGAAGGACTTTTGGAGGGTTCTACCAGCGATGTGGGAAGTCATTTCAGAGAGAGTGCATGAAGTAGTGAGAGATGGTGGCACACGCTGGACATGGGAGACATGCCCTACTTGACCACCCTACACAGTGGTGGGGGTCGAAGAAGGAAGCATGAAGTAGTAGATTCTTGCTACTAGTAGCGGTGCACTTGTTACTAGTAGTACAGAAAATGCACTTAGCATGAAGCAGCTCCGACAGTCCCAAACTGTCGGGTCAAACTCCAAAGTACCGAAGATGGGTCCAGACTTGCCTGAGCCCTAAAACCAGGTACTGTCAGTACTGTATGTTAAAAGGTACTCGGACTCAGCAGATAGACTTGCTTTTGGGCTGCAGCCACGAAGCTTGGTCAAGCTGTGTCACTGTGTTCGCGGGCACCAGTTGTCAAACATGCAGGTCCGTTTTTGAGAAGGTTTGAACTAGATGAGTGAAAGTCCACCAATAGGAAGAACTTTCCTGTCAAAAAATATTGTATGATATATTACTATACAGTTATCTAAATACAGTATACTGTACGTATGGAGGGCCTTTTCTTCGGAGAATACCGGATGGTTCCATGACTGACTGGCTTCATTTTTTCGCTTCGGAACGTATTTTTGGAGAAGAAACCGTCGCTGAGACATTGGAGGTCAGGCCAAAGTGCTTGACACATCGCCGATGGCCAAGGTTAAGGTTCAAGACGTGCACCATGGCTGGAGTGGTTGCAATAGAGACATGGCCGCCGCTAGAGAAAGAAATAATAAGAACCACCAGAAAAAGGGCTCCAGCAAAAGGCATCATGTTCGTAGCCTCCAAACCAGCACAAAGCATTGTTTACTATGATGTTGGTCTGTTCTTTTTGGACACCAATACGAATTTCGATATAACCCAAGCCAAAAAGCAAATCCCAGAACAAACAACGTTGCCCATGAGGGGCTTCGCTGCGGCTTCGCTCGTTCTCGTACTGACTTAGCATGCACTAACTAACTCAACCTTTGAATGCAGCAGGGGAATAGGTATTTCAATAGGGAGATTCCTGTTTGACGAAGAACAAAGACCACAACCCATTGGTGGAGGGCCGTTTCCTTCTTCAAACACACACCGTTACACCCATCTCGGGGGCCGCACGGCCCGACCGAGGCCCATGCCACGGCGTCCGCCGGGCTACTACGAGGAGGTGATCTTGAAGAAGTACTGGAGAAATTGTAAGGTTGTAGATGGTAAGGAGATTTGCTACTTGTTTGCAGTTTTTTGGGGGGTATCTTTGGCTGTTTTTGGGAGGAGATTTGCTACTTGCTTGCAGTTTTTGGGGGGTATCTTTGGCTGTTTTTGGTAAGGAGATTTGCTACTAGTTTGCAGTTTTTTGGGGTTGTTGGTTGTTTTTTGGGGGGCCTCCTTGTATGGCAAAGGGTGGATCCTGATTCAAAAGAGTGGTAGATAGTGACCCACAAGACTCACCACAGTTCATTCACTTTTCTATGTTGATTCACCTCACATTTCAGGCCATTGATCTTCATTGGATGTTCCAGATAGCAATCAACCTTTGACCTTGCCACTTCTGGTCCAGTTCCTGAGTCCTTTCGGCCGTACGATCGTACGGCAGAAACGGCTTGCCCCGATTCATCACCTGTGAGTCCCGTCCAACTCTGTGGTCGATCTGCTGCAGGTGAAGCATCCTGAAACAACAACCATAATAGTGCCCTTCCTAGTGGTTTCAGATGCGTCCTAGTGGTCGACCCTTCTTAGTGGTCCCTAGGTTGTGGTCCCTGTTTGTGCTCCCCAAAAAAGTTCACTTCGCTCTCAGTGTGCGAAGTGACCGGAGAAAACTTGGACAGAAAAGGGAAGTCACGAAAGGAAGAACAAGGGCGACTGGAGATGTCATGGGTAGATGTCTTGCAAACTAAGGCGGGCTCCACGATCAATGGATCAATGGATTTGTTTAAGGATGAATCTACAGGAAACCATAGGAAACCCATGGTTTTCACCAAAACAATGGGTTTCCTGTCGATTTTCCCTTAAACTATTTCTGAGACACGATACACACACGTCACCGCAGCATTTTACCTGTGCCCACACCGCCCGGTCAAGCTCCCGAGACGGTGAAGCGGACTGCACGCTCGCGCCGCTCTCGTCTCAGGTGGAGAGGAAGTGGACTGCAGCAACGCAATCAAAGTGCTTTTAGACATTTGGGCTGAGCAACTGCCTCTTCAAAGTGACCGTTTAGGATTCAGGATCCCTCTAGCATTTATTGTTTGAAGCAACTGTTGGCTGTGACAGTGACCGATTCGGGGTGTCACGTGTGGTCACTTTGAAGAGCATGAGATTGTCTTTTGTTCTACTGTCGACCCCTTACTGAGACCAATACTGTATGGTCAGAATAGTTGTTCAATGTTGTTGGAAATCCCTCAACTTGGGGATTGTACAAATACGGGATGGTTTGTTCTGTGTGTGTGTTTTCAAAATCTACAACTATGTCAGTTGAATGTTTGTTCTTGTTTGCCAGGATCTTTCCAGTGATCGGACTTCAAGATTGATCAGTGACCTTTTGGAGACCTTTCAGTGACCTGATTCTGAGATCGTATCACTGGGAAGGTTCTGGTACTACCGTAGATGGACCACATATTCAAACCCTTCAAACCGCTTGGACCCCTTCTACCCAAAAACTCAAAGTTAGTGAGCCTGCCAGAGTCTTTCGGCGAATGGACG